TGTGCTTGTTGGTGGCGTTTCGGTGTGGCCTGGAGCCTCAGCCCCTCCCTGAATGTTCCGGGGGAGGAGAAAGAAAAGCTCCCTTCGCGGGTTATTGGTGAGCATGGACTTGCTGGCAGAGGCTCCGGCTTCGTAGGAAGCAGGTGTAAAGTCTCCAGTAGGATGCAGAGCTCGGGCGCATGGATGCTGAACATTTCTTGTAAACACACGTACACATCATGATGGCGGCTGTGACGTTGGTGGCACACGATTTTAAGAGCCTGGCACCCCTCCCCCAACATCCTTCCCCTACCGCCCACCCCCGCCACCCATCACTGTAACAATAATTCTGCATATGTTTCTCCCGGTCTGTGGCTTAGCCATTAAAGATAGAGGTTTGGATTTGAGTCAATGCAGAGTAAGGGGGCACAGGCCCATGTGCTGGGTGTGCAGCAATGCACACGGGGCTGAGCTCTGGGGACAGCAGGCGGCCTGCCCCTGGGCTGGAATTCCCCGAAGGGCAGGTGCAAGGGCAGTTGTTAGAGATGGACCAGGGCGGGCGAGGCCCTTGGAACCCTGTTTGGGGGGAATCAGTGGCCAGGTAAGGCCCTGCTAAGCCTTTGCAGCTGCTGGGGGTGGTGTGGGCTGCTTGGCCGGACCGGTGTTAACGACGTCTTTCCATTCCTGTCTTCTGCCCCAAATTCCTTCCCGGCTGAGCTAGGCATGGTTGGGGGGAGTTTGTCTTAGGATCAAGTGCTTCCCTGTCTACTTAACAACAGCGTCCATTATTATTTGTGAACCCTGATTTCATTGCTTCTAAATGCGTTTACCAGCTGGGAGGAGGCCCAGGCTTGTAAATAAAATGTGGTTTTGTTGTAAAAGAAAATTAACTCTGTGTGTGTGTAAATATATACTTGTCCGTGCACTTGAGGATTTTACTTTTCCGAACCCACCCCGATCCGCTCTCTGACGTTTGAACAACTTGCCTGCCGCATCCATTCATTTTTCCTCTTAATGAGTCAAACATTTTAGAAGTCCTCCTTCATTCGGCTCATGACAGTGAGAGCAGCAATATTGTCCAGGGCTGCCTGACACTTGGGGAGCTTTGCACGAAAGCAGAGATCATCACAGAGGAAAACCTCATCTTTGCCTTCGTTTTTTAAGGCCTGAGTTTGCCGGACAAGGCAGCCTGAGGGGCTGGGAATCAGAAAGGCTGTTTTTGTTTTTATGTGTCTTTTCTTTTTCTGGTGCTTTCTCGTCTCTGGGTGGCACTTGGGACCACTCTGCCTGTCACGGCAGAGGCCTGGTTCTCTGAGGCTGTGCAGGGCTGTGAGGCTCCGTGTGCTCACAGGCAAGAGAAGGGAGGGTTCTAGAAGGGCCCGGCACAACCTCTCCTGACCCTTCTGTGAGCTCAGCCAGTGGCTCCTTCTCCTTTTATTTCTTCCATTATTGATACAGTTCTAAGAAGGGACACACACACACACATGCACCCCACACGCCCAGCTCGGTATCCGCCTGCCAGCGGAAATGAAACCACAGCCCGTCTTTGGGGGTGCCTCTGAAGGCCCTGAGCGTGAGCTTTTAGCCTCAGCAAGCTGTCTTAGTCCACCTGCTCTGACCCAGAAGTTTGACAGTTTGGGGGTTTGGGGTGACTCTGCTGCCTGAACGTTGTGGGTGACATTGCCACCTTCCTGGGAAGGAGCTCACGCAGCCAGCCAAAGTCCAGAGCCCCACACCCCAGGGGGTGGGGAGAGGAAATCCCATTCTTGGAGTTGGGTGAACCCCCTCTGTCATCTCGAGTTTTACTTTCAACACTGAAAGTGGGAGGGGAAGATTTTTTTGTTTGTTTGTTTAGCTCCTAGACTCCCTTAGAGGCAGTGGGCTGGATCCTGGGTCTGGGAGGTGGAGATGCGAGTTCAGAGCTGTCTGCGGGACGCCGGCCGGACCTGGCTGCCCAGGTTGGTTGGCTGCGAGGGGACTGGAGGCAGCGATGTGAGCTGCAGCGATGTGAGCTGCAGCGCGGGGAACGGCTTTGGCTACTTTCAAACTCAATTAGGGCCTCACAGGGCTGGCTGCACGAGGAAAGTGAAAAGGCAGAGACTGCCAAATAAAGGAAAGAATACCAGATGTTACCAAAAAAAAAAAAAAAAGAAGAAGAAGAAAAGGAAAAAAGTGCTGGGACAGAGTCCTTAGCAAAAGACGGAAGGGGGAGGAGGGCGTGCTTGCGAGCCGGTGTGTGCGACCTTTGCTAATTTTTAAATTAGTCTGGTTTTCTCTTGCGTTAGAAAATGAATTTGAAATTATGGAGCTTAAAATCTCCTCTTGGAGAGGACATAGTCACGCTTCCTAGAGCTGCCACCCAGGAGAGCGGATGGGCCGGACGCGGCCGAAAAAGTTAATGAAAAGCAAAACCAAACCAAAAAAGGAAACCAAAGATGAAACTAAAAGACAGAAAACACCTCCTCACCCTCAGAAAGGATGATCAAGTTGGGAATGTGGAAGGATTAGCTGTTGTCATTTATTTTTATCAAACGCCCTTGTTGACGCAGCCGGGTGCCAGGCCTGCTCAGGAGTGGCATTTAAAATGGTACCAGGGACCGCCACCCTCCCCACCGCAGAACTCGCCCATTTCATTTGAATTCTCAATTTCATTTTGTCCTTTTTTTGCTTTTCAGCTCATTTCCTTTGTGTGTGTCTCTCTCTCTCTCTTTTTTTTAACAAAACAATATTTTGACATCCTCCTCCCATTTATTAGAGTTCCTTCTCTAGAAATGGCGCACAATACATCCTTATATTTCTAAAGAACTGTTTTCACAGCTCTCTCCTTTGGCTCTGAAATTATGTATATGTAATTGGTAATTAAAGGTGCGAGCTTTTCAATATAAACAGTATTGCTCAATGTTAGATCATTAAAGGGAAGAGAGGCCCCGAATAATTACCTTTTACATTCTGACAAACCGTTCGCAGGAATCTGGTTCCCCCTGGTTCCGCACCATTCTGCGGGAGGGCTGTGATTACATTTTAACCATAGCAAAGCATCTTTTCACGAAATAAATTGGTAAATTAATTATGTAGCATTGTCTTCAAACTCCTTTTTAAGTAAAGTCTGATTTCCTTTTAAAGTGTAATTAATGGTTTCTGGGGCCGGCTTTGTGAAAAGTTTCGCTTACCTTTTGTTAGAAGGATGTAGACAACAGATTTAGGATTCCCCCATCTGCGGGGTCTTTAGTGCCACCACACTTGTGACGTGTGTCTCCATGTAAGCCATTGACGGCTCGGTCTGCTTTTCTGTAGCCACAAGCGGGATCTTACGTGGTAACCTCCCCTCCAGCACTACCTACGTGTGGACCTATACACGTGTGGTTCATACGTGTGCTCTATCATATACCATCGCTTCTAGAACCAGCCTCACACATGGACTCTCCCAGGCCCTGAAGAAGCTTGTGTTCAGAAAACACAGAACAGTGATTTATGTGTAGGATGGAAGATGCCACAGAATTTTTTCCTTAAATTATCTGTTCTTTGGCTCTGGCCCGTCAATAACTTCACTGCCACGGAATGTGTTTTCCTGCCTTCCAGTCCTTCTCTCTGGTCTTCTGTGGTTTTCATTATCCCTTACTAAATACCATATAACTTAAAATTTACCTGCCTCCTCGGGGTGTAGACCTCTGGCTGCCCCTTGGCTTCTCTGAAGACCCTGCCACTGGGACGTCTACACAACTACTGACGTTTGCTCTCAAAAAATTCCAACCCGAATTTGCTCAGACCCGAGGGGATATGCAACCTCATTGTCCACTTCCTTTCTTTATGACACTTTCGGCCTCTGCGTCTTCCAGTGTTCCCCTGAGGGGGTTGCTGCTTTTTGAGGCATTTATTAGCTTCAAACTATTTGGGTCCCATGCCCCCTACAAAAAAAAAAAAAAAAAGAAAGAAGGGAAATATACTGGGTGCTAAAGAAAATGTACAGCCCATTGAAAGTGTGGTTTGTCATCTGCCAAAAAATAGTTTTTAGAGTCTGAAGAATTTTTTTGTTTGTTTTCTTTTTCTGGGAGTGAAAATAGAACCAACTAACAAAAAAGGACAGTGGGGAGTTGATGAGGGCTGGGAAGTCTGGGAGGCCGTGGAAGGCTGAGCGGGAGCAGGGCGTTTGGCAGGAAAGCCAGCTTCCTCTTTCAGTGAGCCGACCCGACCCGCAGCCTCGTCCCTTCTCCTGCATTGTCTCTTCCTTCGATATGTCTTTTTGAACCGACACTCACTTGTTGCTTTGTGAGCACATGGGCTTCTTTCTCTGTCTTTCTCTTGTCAGGATGGCCCTCTGACTCCCGTCTGGGTTTCTGTTCTCTTGTCTGGTGTGCAGCCAGGTCTCAGGTCGAGGAATGCAAGCAGGCCCCACATGAATGGGGAGGACATGAATGAGAGGTGGGAGGGACGGGAGGGGCCGATGCAGCCCAGGCAGGGTGAAGCGGCTCTGGCCCGCGGTTCGCAGCCTTGGCTGCCCATTGGAATCACCTGGGGAGTCTTAGAACAAACAACAACAACCTGATGTTTGGATCGCAGCATAACTGGTCTGGGATGCTGCCTGGGCGTCAGGGGTTTTCCAAGCTCCCAGGTGATTCTCAGACGTTGCCAAGTTTGAGAGACACGTCTCGAGCGGAGAGAGCCAGGTCCGCGAGGGCTGAGTCTCTTGTGAGACCAGGATGTGTGTGTATGTGCATGTGGACATGTTGTGTTCCTGTGCTGTGTTGGGGGGGAAATTGGCAGAGAATAAACTAGAAAGCAGTAAGCAACAACCTCTGAGAGCCACAGTGTGGCTCCTGGAGCCTCAGTTTGCCCATGTGTCACCCATGGGTTGGCAAACCCGCTGCCTCCTGGAGTTGTGGGGAGGACTTGATAAACTCTAGCATCCCGCAGCGGAGGGGGCCTGCCTCTCGGTGGGGAAGGGATGGAACGAACGATGGGTCTTGTGATTGCCTAAGTCCATCTCTGTCTTCTCTGCCCCCCTTTCTCCCTTCTCTCTCCAGCAGAGGCCGACCATGTGGAGGCTGCCATCCTCGAAGAGGACGAGGGTCTGGAGATAGAGGAGCCCAGCGGCCTGGGGCTGTTGGTGGGTGGCCCCGACCCTGACCTGCTCACCTGTGGACAGTGTCAGATGAACTTCCCCCTGGGGGACATCCTGGTTTTTATAGAGCACAAGAAGAAGCAGTGTGGCGGCAGCCTGGGTGCCTGCTATGACAAAGGCCTGGACAAGGGCAGCCCGCCGCCCTCCTCACGCTCCGAGCTCAGGAAAGTGTCCGAGCCGGTGGAGATCGGGATTCAGGTCACCCCCGACGAAGACGACCACCTGCTGTCGCCCACAAAAGGCATCTGCCCCAAGCAGGAGAACATTGCAGGTATGGAATGTGGCACTCGCCTGGCCGCTGCCGAAGCCGCCTCCTGGTCCCACGCCCGCCTTCACCCCTCGCTGTGTTGGGGGGCTCGCCCTCCTTCTGAGGGCATTGGTGCGGGGAGGGCCCGGGGCTACCGGGACGGCCTGTGGGCCACCAGCTGGGGCTCCCCCTTTCCCGGGGCTCACTATCCAGGTGACCCTCAGGAGGAGACAGGCCTGGGGCTCAGGGAGGCCCGATGGGCCGATGGCTGCTTTGCTCTGTCATGGGGCCTAATGCATAGGTGGCCAGGAGTACAGAATGGAAATTCAGAAGAAAGTTGGCCCTCCCTTTGCTGGGGTTCTTGGCTTAATCTCCAGCTTTGGAGCCCGATGGTCTGGGCTTGGATTCTGTTTGTCCCGACTTGGGCAGGTCAGTTTCCCCATCTGTGAAATGGAGCTGATGAAACCCGTTTTATTAGGGTTGTTGTGAGGCTTGTGGGCAGTACCTGGTGGGCGCTCGCGGTCGGGAGCACTCATTGTCTCCCCTCCCCTCTCTGGCCTCAGTTTCCCATCTGGAAAGAAAGGACCCTTTGATCTCAGAGGCCCCTCTGATGCTGCCTGATCCTACGGTGGGTCTGGGGAAGGGCTTCTGAGAGCTCACAGTGCTGGAGGAGGCTGGACATGCCCTCTGGCACGTCCACTTGGCTGGCCCCCTGGACGGCTGGTTTCTACCACCTGAAGAACAGGTGTGGGGCTTGTGTCCTCCAGCCAGCTCTGCTCACCATGGTGAGTTTTCATCAAGTCCCTGTCTCCGAGCCACGGCCATGGGATGTCAGAGCCTCCTCCAGGGAGCCCGTGCCCCGTGCAAACCCGAGTGTTTGCTTCTGGTTCGTCCTGAGCCCAGGAGGCTGGGAGGGGAGGGGAAAAGTGAGCCCTGGTCGGCCTGCCCTGGAAGTGGCACCTGTCCTGTAGCAAGACGGGTGTCAGAGTATGTGCAGGTGGGGGTTCGAATCCTGCTGGTTGACTTTAGACAAGCCACTACATGGGTCCAAGGCTCAGTTTCCCCATCTGTCAACAGGAAGTGATAATACTGGCAGGCCTGGCATGAGGGTTCCATGAGCAGGGCTTCCATAAATGCTTTGCCAGTGGGACTTTCCTCTCGGGGGTCCCTCTGGCACTGCAGTGTGCAAGTAGGTGTCTGGATCGGAGAATGGGCGGATCTGTCTCCACCGTGTTTTGGTCGTGGAACCTAGCAGGGATCCTGGAGGGACTGAGGCTTCGGGTGCTCCTTGGAGGGTGATCCTGGTATAGCCAGGGCACCCCACTCCCACGGTGAGATGTATGGGCGTGGGCAGAGACTCCCCGTCACCCAGGAGGCAGTCAGGTTAAGGCAGCGACCCCGGCTGCTCGGTCAGTGGCAGCCAGGTGGCAGCTCTGTAGCCTTGGGTCTCACTTTACCCATCTGTAAAGTGGGATAAATGAGATCTCTCTCTTGTGGAGAGACTGGTGGTAAGCATTCCTGCAGGCACGTGCTGGGGCCTGGGGAGACCCCAGTGAACCAGACTCGCCTACAGGCCGTGTCCCCTGATGTGTGTCCTGGCGTGAAATCTCTCCCACTCCTGAGATGCCGATGGCATTGAGAAGGATGTCCGGCATGTCCAGGCCACTGTCGCGTACACCCTGGTTTCCGGGGGTGCCGGGCGGATCTGAGTGGCGTTTCCTTCGGTAGAGTCGGAGCCATCAGACGAGAAAGGCACCGGTCCCTTGTGTGTGTGTAGTTGGGGTCTCCACCCTTCCTTTTCTTTGTCCGACAGTTGAGGGATGTTTTTCACCAGCAGTATCAACACCTGTCATCAGTGCACAGGGACCTTTCAGGGGTGGCTTCTACCGGTGAGCCGCAGCCCTCTATTTCTGTTTCAGTGGAAAAGCTTTCTGCTTTCCCCAAAAACCCATCCGAATCCTCTTTTCACGTGGAAGGTATTTCCCAACGAGAGGCTGCAGATCCTGGAGCATAGGTTTGTCTAAGAAAGCGGCTAAATATGATTTCATAAAAGGCCAAGTGATCTCCAAGGTGGCTTTGTCCTCATCCTGCCCCCCCCGGCCCCCCTCTTTTCGGGTTGTAATACTGCAGCAGCCTACGGTATTTTTATTTTATGTGTGACGAAAGATATTTTTGGCTTTTTCTGTTCAGCAAGAGGACGAATGCATTTCTTCATTCTCGAATAAATATGTAAAATAACCCCTTAGAAGTCTAAAGAGATGTGTCTGGTCAAAGCATTTAAAATGTTATTTTAATCAAAGGCAAAAAACGGTCTCCGTGCTGTGTCAGCTGAAGACGGTCACTCCGTTTTAACAGCCATCCTGCTCTGTCCTCCCTTGTCCCTCTTTTCCCTTTTTCCCTCCCTACTTTGGCACCAACTTTTCTTTATTTTTTTTTTTTCATTTAATAAAAAGGCAAGATTAAAGAATAAAACTTCAGTAGCTCAAATGTATAAAGTAATTTAATACGGTGGGAGCATTAATTATTTTAGCTTAATTGAATTCTGAGGACGGCCGTAGTTGCATTTTGCAGACAAGCCCTGTTTATTATTTCTCTGCGTAGATTAACAGTAAAGGAAACACAGATAACTTTCAGTTATTTATTGTAAAATAAATGTGTCAATTCATGTGTAAAGCAAGCTGCTCGAAGATAATTGAGTCTTTATATTTTAAGAGGGGGACGAGGAATCACGGGCACTTGCCCGTCCGGGCTTCCGGAAATCCGCACAGCTGCTGCCCATGCCCGGGCACGGTGGCCTCACCCGGGCCTCTCCATTCCTGCCTCCCGGCCGTGGCCGTGTGCTCCAGCCCTTCCATGCCCCGCGGCTGTCCCCAGCGCTGGCCCTGGTCCGTAGCTCGCGAGCAGGTGGCTGTTAATTCTTGGGACTTTGCCTCTGGCTTGGCTGTCCGGGGTGAGGTGCCCGCAGTGGCCGTGAGGGTCCAGCTTTTCCTGGAACTAGCAATCTGTGTATTGTCCTCCTGGTGCCAGGTGCTTCTAGAGGCGGGCTCCAAAGATGGATGGGCAGGGCTGGTCTGCATATATGTGGGGTCCCTTCCACCCTTAAGGGCGTCCCCAGGGTGAGAATGGAGTTAGAATTCTATCAGTCATCGCACCAGGTTGGGCCCTGGATGGGCCCCTTCCTTGGGACAGTGATTCTGGAGACGGATATAAAAGGAGTAGTTGCTATTCCTGCTTTTTTTGATGATAGAGAAGTAGGAGAGTAGAAGGAGGAAGTTTCTGGAGCTTTGTCCCCTGGAGGGCACTCATTCATTCATTCATTCATCAGCAACCGGGTACCTATTGCCCTTCCTCTGCCCCTGAGCATCCCCATCGGGCCTTCGAGGTGACAGAGGCCCCAGGGGGCGGGAGCACGGTGGGAGGATGCCCATCAGGGCTGCTGCTCTGTCCTGCGTGGGGGACATGGCCAGCGTGTGAGCAGGGGCAGCCTTGCCCTGGATGTGTGTGGTGGAGTCCGGGCCCTGCTCCCTGAGCGTCTGTTGTGGGCAGAGGAGGTGCGTGGGGCTTGCGTCGGAGACCCATCTGGGGCCAGGGCGGTGGAGATGGTGAGAGGTACGGGCTTGGGCCTGGAGCTCTGACTCAGGGGCGGCATCAGCCTCTGATATACATCCGCCCATATGAGAGTCCTTTACATTTCTTGAGATCCCTTCCTACTGCATTCTGCCTGCCTCTGTGGAGGGTCCTGATGGAGCTCGGGGACCATCTGTCTTGAGACAGGAGTGGTAAACTCTGGGAGGAAAGATGCGAGGGGCTCCAGGGTCTGTAAGAGCATGAGCCCTTGAGCTGTGATCTGGGTGTCTTGAGGAGGGCCGAGGAGCAAGGGGGCTCAGAGGTGTCTGGGGTTTGCGGCCTGCCCCGGGGTAGGGGTGGGGGGAGCTCGTGCTGCTGTGGGAAAGGACCCAGCCCAAGTCTGCGCCCCGCCCTGCTGCCTGCCAGCCTTGAGCTGTGTGACTTGACTTTCTGAGCTGCAGTTTGCTCATCTGGGAACCTGACACTAATTGTGATCTTTGAGCGCCACATGCCTGGTGCACGTGCTGCAGACATGAGCGCCTCCCCGTTCCCTCGCAGGCCCCCGGCTTTCCCGGGCTCCGTCCGTCATCTCCTGGTAGAGTCGTGAACGTAGATCTTCCTGGAATTGGGGAAAACCTTTCAGTGCGTTCTGAGAATCCCACCATCAGAAACTACGACCGAACGACTGTCAGGCGTGCCCCCTATCTTTGGTCACATTGCTGTCATATGGCGACAGCTCTGATGGTGGATGGTCCTGGGGAGAGGTCTGGGGGTCCAAGCTGCTCGGGCTTTGGCATCAGGCGGCTGGGGTTGAATTCCACCGCTCACCCAGGCAAGCCTCTTTGCTTTTCTGGGCCTCAGTTTCCTCGTCTGCACCTACTTTTCAGTGTTAGGCTGAGTTTGAAAGCATCCTCCTAGCACAGGCTCCCGCCGAGGTGGACGGCTGAGCAGCAGAAGCTCCTGGAAAGCCAGGCTCAGGACTCGTGGACTCCATTTGGCAGCACGAGGTGCTGGCTTTTCTGTGAAAATCTTGAAAACCAATCTTGGATCTCTCTCTCAGCCGTTTCCGCCTTAGAATCCCCATTTTCCAGCCACTGGAGGGAAGACTGTTGATCACAGGTGATTGGTTCCTGCATGTGATCGCCCCTTCCATAACCCAGTGAAGTCACAACGGGAGGAATGAGCCATCAGCTGTCAGTCATCAGCTTGCTTTTTGCCTTTTCCTCCTCCTCCCCCCAAACCCCAAATGTCAGTTTTCAGGAGAAATGCAAGAGACAGGCAGCGGGTGACAGGAGGTGGCAGATCCCCTTGGGCCCGGAGGTGGCAGGCAGTTTCCTGCTGTGATGGCCCCGCCCGCTCCGCACGGCTGTCTGCATCTGGAACAGCAGCATCTGGAGCCGGAAGGGCCAAGGATGCGCCAGGGGGCGCGAGTGGGGGTCGCGTAGCAGGCAGGGCAC